TCAATCCCTTTGCTCCAATATTAAGTTGTTCCTATCCTTTGGTGTCAGGCCAATGAGACCCTTTTTAAAAGCAAAGGTTGACAAATGCACTACGTTTCATAACAACAGATAAAAAATAATACAATAATAATAAAAAAAATACTAATACATCTATAACACAATGTTATATAATAATATGTGTGTTTTTATTGTGTAATAAAAGTAAAGTTGTTCCAGCATCCGATCCGGACATTGGGGATTGCCTTGTTAGTGAAACAACTTCCTGGGCCTTCGGCATAATATTGTGATAGGAGGGCCAGTTCTTTTCCACACCGCCTTTACTCCCCCAACTCGAAGTCAAGTACCTATCACTGCTGGGTGGGCAGGAGGGGGCGAAAAAAATTCGTGTCCGAACCGAGGCTCGAACCCGGACTTTCCACTTCAGAGACGAGGGCACTAACCGCTCCGCCACCACACCCTCTGTATTGTGTAATATAATGTAATATTCCAGCATCTTCGTTTGTTGCCATTTCTTTAGTCCAAAAGTTGCCACAAAAATGCAAAAAGTTGTCATTAAAATTGCCATTAATTTTCAAGCTTTCAACTCTCTGTGATGACGTATAGCAAAATGTTAATAGAGATAACTTAATCTAAATATTACCAGAATTTCTTGTGCTTTGTTTTAAGCATCCAGAATATCATTTGTAGACACAGAGAGTAAAAACGTTAAAAATAAAGGTTTCACAAAAGAAAGAAATCAAAATCAGAGCAGTAGGCTACATAAACAACCACAAAAATTAAGAAATAAGGGCGTGTGTCCACCTGTCCGAAGATTGGCCGTTTTAATCCTAATTAAGCGTGTGTGATTCAAGAAAAAGTACAGAATAGTACATGAAAATTATGCAATCACACTCAAGGGACCCTGCCAGTGTCAGTATTCGGTTTTGGTGGAGACACATAATATTAAAACAGAAGTAGGAACAACATCAAATTAAATTACATTTCGCATTTATGAACTTTTTTAAAAAAATTATTTAAAAAATAATTTTTAAAAACAACAACAACAAAAACAATATATATATATATATATATATATATATAAAGGACATCAGAACAGTAACCAAACAAATTAGCACACCAACAAATTAAAACACACAAAGAGGGAAAAATAAAAGAGAAACAGGAATAAAAATAGGATGTAATATACTTATATTCTTCATATGAAAATAACAAATCAACGTGGTGTCAACAAGTGACAAAGAGACGAAGTGAAGCGGGAGTGAAAATAAACAAACTTTCTTAAAAGCTCCGTTTTTTCGATGTTAATTCCCCGGGGTTTTTTTTTCCCTCTTTTAGTCCCCCGTGGTT